AACCTCCCTGTGCGTTTCTTGGCGTCGCGCCCGGTTGGGTTGCCGGGCACTACTGAGCCCCCCCACCACGACAAGGTGAACGCACGTTGGGGGGGCATCTTGTTTAGATACGTACATTTTTAATATTAATTACTTTATGTTACGTCTTAAGCAAATATCGTAACATAGCAAAATATTTTAGACATATTTGTTCGTTTCTGAGCAAACCGTGCTATTTTAGTTATGCATACTCCACAATCCCACCAATCATTTCAATTCCATTAGTAATTTTACCAACAAATAAAAGTTAAACTCATTATTTATATTATTTTGAATTGTATATTTATTTACCAATAACACGAACATAAAATTTAATATCGACATTTTATTCGAATCGCGAACAATCGACCTTATTACATTATTAAACCATTTATTATGGGCCCTAAAATACTTCGCTTTGTGACGGACCCCATTTGTAATTGTAATTGCATCATTCCATGTCATAGAATATTTAAATTAAATCAATTTGTATGTTAAAGCAAAATGGAAATGTGATACGAAACGCTAATTAACTTAACTATATGATGTTTTAGAATTTGACGACATGATGTATCTATTACACGAGTGAGGGAGTTTCCGGTAAACTCTTTATCTTACTTAATTTCTCTAGATTTTCAATTTAATTATTTTCGGCTTATTTAAAAAAGAAAGATGTTTTAAGCAGTCATTTTATCTAAATATTGCAGTGGCAGTACTGATGTACGTTTTTAGTTATATAATAATTGTATCGCGTCACGAACCACAGTTGTCCCGTAACCGATTTACTTGTCCATACTAATATAAATTGAAAGTGTGTTTGTTTGTTTATTCGTTCGTTCGTTCGTTCATTCGTTCGTTTGTTTGTTTGTCCTTCTTTCATGTTGAAACAGAGTGACGGATAGGCGAGTTTTTTTGTGTGGAGATATTTGGAGAGCTGGAGAGTGACATAGGTTTCTTTTTGCCACGGTAGATTATCTCATTCCCACGGGAAAACTCGTTATAATACAACCCACAATATCTCATCATACCTATGTATATACAATTATACATACTATATAATATACATAATATAATCTATATAATATAATCTATCTATTCCATATTAACCGTTAAAACGTACCTAGGGACAAACCCGAGCGAAGCGAGGGTGAGCCGCTTGTATTATTATAAAAGTATATAATTGTGCTAGGGATATTTGTGACTAACTTAAAATAAATATAATAAATATGTATATATAAATTTAGAAGTTTGTTTATTATTAGATTAGTATTATATACAGTGAACACGCAATGTCACCCACACACACTAAAGTATGTTTTGTCTATTAAACTAAACTGAAAGTTCTGAAGACTGATAAGTTAAAATAAATACGAGTAGTATGTATGTTTTTATTATGAAATCGTGATGGTAATATTTAAAATCAGGTAATTAGATGAGTTTTTACTATAAATTATTCCTACGACATCGGATTTACAGCATCTTCCAATATTTTTATAAAATCCTACTCATAAAATCTTTAAGTCCTCCATTAAAAATACATAGTGGGAAAATAAGAAATAAATGCGAAGGTAGAAAATCTTAACTTCCGTCACTTATACTTACCTAATGGACATTACAGTTCCTTCTTTCAGTTTTAATTTCTAATGCTTGTAGGGACGTGACGTGAAGCGAGGTACAGTCACGTACGATATTACTAGCGTGATTCATCCCTGGCCTAATTTCAACAACGTACGAAGACGCACATACATTTGTATAACTTAAAATTAATACTCAAATGATTTTAAACTTTATATCTCAAAAATAAGGGATGATTTCGAATGTATTTAATTGTAAAACTTGAAACAAATGTGGTTTATTGTAATAAAGTCGTTACTCCCTTTGAATTGTTATGTCTAATATGTCGTTTGCCGTTTTTATTGTCCGCCGTATAAGTTTATATTGAAGTTATGATAATCAGAATTTAAATTAGTTTCTGTATATAAAAATGGCTACAATTTTCGTTTGACTTGACGCTGTACTTAGAAAACTCAGAATTTTATTACTAACTAGTGACGTACCCTTGCTTTTTTCTGGTGCATCCCTAGGTAAGTTTTAAATAGATATAAATAATTATTCTGAGTGTATCTTAGGAGATAGACATATGCTATTGTAGGTTTTTTTTGTAGGCCTTTTAAAGACCTACAATTTTCTAGTACATTGTTTTGATATATCTCTTAAGGCTTAGCCAGTGTTAGTTAAATAAATTTCTAAAGACGACTTGATACAACCACTTATTTTATTTTTCGGTGGGAATAAAAGATTTTTCTGTAAATGTTGACCCGAGTAATAAGTTATCAGTACACAAAATTTAGTAAAAATCGGTTAATTACTTTTTGCGTGAAACGTGAACAAACAAACAGACATACAGACAACAATTTGAATAACTATTGTTTTGGTGTCTTTATTCTGTACATAATACGTTACAGTCATCGTTTAAAAAAAAATGTTTCATGTACAGATTTCAGTTACTGTTTTATTATAATGTATAGATTCATAGTAATATGTTTATAGCCTTAAAATGAGGGCTGACCCCATTTATATTGTAACTGTCTATTACTATTAACTGTACGACTAATATTATTTTTATTAGTCCGGCTCTTGATTATTAAAAAATATATATCCGGCTCTTGATTATTAAAAAATATATATTATTAAAAATATATTTTAAATCTTAAATAATATAAATAAATGAATAATCTTTTATCCAGATGCTTTAAATTCAAAACAAAAAAAAAACAAAATAAAATAGCTGGACAAATAATTACATATTAATAATAAATAATATTGTACAGTAACTGGATTAATAGACACTTTCTAAAACTAGACTTAGATAAATACCTATTTACGTTTATAATACGTGTATACATATCATCCGGAAATGAATGCAGCAATAACCGGCCAAGGTAGATATACGAGCATGCTTCCGCCAGACGGCGAACATCAAGAATATACCTACATGTTAGCTATTGCATGCGGATTTGCCCAAGTTTGGTAATCTACTAACTTCATCAACGTGGTGCAATGGCGAAAAATTGAATGGTATTTTTAACACTGACCCGTTTCCAATTAAGCTTAGAAGTTTTGTTTAAAAAATATTTAGTAGGTACGTATTCCTACATGATGCATTGTTGCTCCGTTTTTAAATTTTCAGTTTACAGTTACACTATGTTTATGAAAATGAAGTATTATTTTTTTAATCTAAGTGCAATTATATAATAAGTATGTACATATATTATTTGTGATTATATCTGCATTTTTATTATACAAAATGTACTAATTATATTACGAGTAGGTATTAATTTACCATATATAGCCATCATAACAAAAATATACCTTTGCTATACTGAAGTGAAACTTCTTTAGAATCAATATGATTTGAAACTCGAAGAAACGAAAATACGACACTAAAAAGCAGACAAACACATAAATATATAGGATTAAGCCGGCGAGAGAATGAGATAGAATACATTACATACCATGTTGCCATGGTAACCGTTGTTATTGTCGAACAAATTAGTATTTAATATTGTATTTTTTGCGTATATAATATTTTATAAATATATATTTATAATATGCCAAATATTCCTTATTTAATTATTGATTTGTTTAATGTAATTGCGATATTTGCTAAAGAAGTTTCAACCGCGCGTAAAGGTTACACGCACCCATTTTCAACCGACTTCAAAAAGGAGGAGGTTCTCAATTAGACTGTAAGTTTTTTTTTATGTTTGTTACCTCAGAACTCAGTCATTTATTAACCGATTTGGACAATTTTTGTTTTGTTTGAAAGGGTATACTTCCAGATTGGTCCCATTTAAATTTCAAAAAAAAAATACCACCTCTAAGGGTGGAAAAACAACTAATGATGAATTTAACCTACTTCTAATTGTCATATTGACTTGAAACTTTGCAAGTATTTCTATTTCCGTTGATAGTACAGTGGTTCGGTGTTGTTGACCTGATCTGATGGCAAGGCCAGAAGGTGGATAAGTGGAACTCTTCAACGGCTAATAGTAGATACTTTGAGTTTGGGCTTATTTTGTTTGATATGACAAGCCTAACACGTTAGAATCCTTACTTTGCTACTACTGTCTACACTAAAAAGGGAAAAATAAAAACTTTTTAACAAAAAAATAAAAACCGACTTCAAACAAAAGCACTAAAAAGTAAAAAATAACTGATTGGTAGTTTTCATTTACTATACATACCTAATCAAATATTTTCGAAGTCGGTGTGCTTTGTCTAAGTAATTAAAGCCTACCTATTAAATACATACCTAATCAAATATTTTCGAAATCGGTGCCAGCCCATACAAAGCAAAGCACACCGACTTTGAAAATTTTTGATTAGGTATGTATAGTAAATGAAAACTACCAATCAGTTATTTTTTACTTTTTAGTGCTTTTGTTTGAAGTCGGTTTTTATTTTTTTGTTATAAAGTTTTTATTTTACAGCTTTTATTATCAGGCTTCATTTTATTTTCTCACTGGTAATGTCTAGTAAATATATTGTAATGTATCTACACAAATGTATCTAATTAACATGAGAATTTCGAAATCACCAATCCATACTAATATTATAAATGTAAAAGAAACTCTGTCTTACCTTTCCACACTTAAACCACTGCACAGATTTCGATAAAAATTTGGGCAAGGACATAGATTGCTTTCTGGGGACGGACATAGGTTACCTTTGATCCCCGCCTCACTTACCAAAGCTTACCAATTTGAGGAAAGCTGTGTGCAAAAATTAGTTTAATCAAATGTGTCAGTGTTTTGGTCCGTGATCAACTCACACGTACATACATACATATATAATGTGTATTCCACTATGAGATCATTTTTGTATTAATATATATGACAGTTTTTAAAAGATCTGCTCTTGAATTCTATTACTAAATATGTGATATTTTGTAAGCATATTCAATTTTGTCTATGTAATCAGAAATCGACGAAAGCACGTTTGGTGCCGTCACGTACAATATTGCTTTTGTACTCGCCCGTACCTGCCAGTAAAGTAAAAAAAATCATAATCTTCAATAAATTTGATTTTTAAAAACTAATTTTTAATAAAAAAATCCAAAGTCTGAAAAAATACTCATTTAACACGTATACACTATAAAAATGTATGAAAATGAATCTTTGCATAAATAGACAGGCAGAAATTCCTTGAGTAATCATTATTTCAGCTTCTGGATTAGATTGATGGTACCTCCAAGATCATATAATATAGAATTATTGGCCTTTTTATGTTAATTCTAGTGGTATAAAATACTCATTTTACTTTAAAAAAGCAGAAAATATGTATGATGTCTATATACATAAATATCCTGTATACATATAAATATTACAAAATCTTCTTCTCTACTGTAAAGTACAACAAGTATTGGTACTGTGAACAAATAAATAATAAGCACGTATAGTAAAAGGTTGCTAATATTTATGTACACAATTAATATAAAATAATAAAATATTGTATACATTTATAATATTAGATATTACAAACGTATACAATATTTTCAACATCCAATTTAAACATAATCCAATAATCATTCAAATCCATAACTCAATTTCAAATTTATCGCCTATATGACTAAAATAGCAAAGCCGTGGATCAATAGACTTGGTGCCAGATATATTGCAGGTTCACTGATTTTAAACTGTATTTATAATCTTTGGCCTTTTGGTGCTAATAATATATAGATCGGCAATACGGTTAAAGGTGATATGGTAGTGTTAGAAATCATCTGGTCATTTGGTAAGTTGTAACTTGTACATAAAGATAGCTAATATAACTTCAATTAGGTAATGGTAGTCCAGTGGTGATGCGCTCACTTGGGAAACCGAGTGAAGCGAGTTCAAATTCCAGGTCTCGTACCTCTGATATTTTCATGTTCGAATCATTTCTAACATGATTACCACTTGCCTTACGTGAAAGGAAAACATCATGAGGAAACCTGCATGTCTGTGAGAACCCAGCAACTTTTCGAAAGACATGTGAAGTCCGTCAACCCCCACTTGACCAGCTTAGTGGACCATTGCCTGATCCCCCTTGTATTGAAGGAAGGCCCGTGCCCAGCACTAGGACATTAAAAAAAGGCTGAATACATCTTCAATCCAATTCAATTCTCTTGTTAATGGCTTCAAAGCGTGGCAGTTGAGCACAGATTACTATGCCAAAGTCACATAGAATGGAGAAGACGACTTCATATCTTAAGTTCAGAACTTATTTGTTTAGAGTTCACTTAGTGACATAATACATAGAGTAAATGTAATATATTTATGTAAATAATATGATGAATCTCTGGTGTCCACATCATATTATACAGCAATAATATTGAAATAGCAATGTACTCAATAAAATCTATCCATCACTCAATTATTTTGTAAAAATTTTTTTTTTGGGTACTTTTTATGTTAAAGTAATATGAAAAACTTAGGAACTAAAATTATGTAAAAATTTAAAATATTAACCGCATAATTGTTAATTGTATAAATATTTTAATTAATGATTATATACTTCACAATATAGCAGACAAATATATCACGTATAAAGTTGGAAATTTAGTCCTTAAATCAATCCCCACCTTTAGTTCTGATTCGAATTTCGAACCATTAATTCTGAAATGTAGTCAAAACTTTTTCTAATTAATTGGCAAAGCTTTATCCTGAGCTTCGTTATAAGTTCTTCAGATTGTAACCAACAAACTTAACGGCTTCCAGTGGACTTATATGAAGCGACACGACTTACGATACGTCGAAGAGCGAGAAAACTAAAAATGTCAACTTAATTTTATACCAAAACTTTAAAAGTGATGCAAAAATATTTTTACAGAATATATACAATTTCAATATATATGGAATATTTTGATCTTTTGGATACTATTGGATTATGAAACGAGCAATGTCATTGACAGTAATGAAAATCCGATTTAATATGTAAATATAGTTATTTATATAAAAAGTATTTTTTTTTAACATTTTATAACCTCAAATTATTCTAAATATTATAATATTATGATTTAAATGCATACTTACATTGTTAACACTGTTCTTATTTATATTCATACCAAAAGATTTTCACAGTTAGACGATACAGTAGTTCTATCAAAAAACATACCAACCACTTGATAGTACTCATTTGGAGAACACAAAGGCGTATCAACTTGTTGAATTTCAGATAACTTAGAGAAATCCACATCATATACCATTTTATTAACATTAAAACCTACCATAGGAACAAATCTGTATCCCCAACGTATATTAAACTCTGTGAAACTGGATCTAGCTTGCACTGGTTGACCCGTTGATTCTATAATACCTTCAAACACTACAACTACTTCAAACTGACTACATAGTAAATCAGCTGCTGACAATCTATAAAATGGACTATTTTCATCGATAACATGAACCGCAGTAACAGGCCAGAGGAAAAAAGCCGATTCACACTCGTCCATGTCCAATTTCAGTTCAATTTGCTCAGTACTATCTAATTCATAGCCATCTGTGTTTAATTGAATAACGTAGGCTTTAGGTTGGATGTTGAGTATTCTGGACTTTCTAATGTCTCCTACTCGAAATATTAGACAGAATCTATCATTTCTCATATTTATAACAGCTTGATTACTGAACAGCATAGTTTGTGTTCTGGCTCCTGGACGAGTTAGCTTTGCAAATAAAATGCCCACCATAATAGCTTGAAAAATAGAGCTGACTATGCATTGGAGGCACATTGCTACGATGGTCTGTGGGCATTCCAACGTTATAGCTCTACGGCCATACGCAACTGTTGTATGAACTTCAATGCTAAATAAAAAAGCTGATGTGAATCCATAAATATTTTTTATGCACGGCACAAATTCTGTATCATTCTGGTACGGTGGAAGATGATCATCGCTGAAATCCTCGTGATTGTAAGAAATTCCCCAATAGATGAACGCAAAGAACAACCAAATGCAAGTGAAAGCTGTAAAGAAATTTAGAAGAGTCCATCGCCATCTCGTTTCCACAAGTAAAAGAAAGTAATTTGAGAAGACCTTTAAAGCTTTTGTTGATGTTCTGTAGATATTAAATTCACCGCTTTTAAACACAGCTCGCAGATATTTTCTTCGTATCGCCTTCGGGTTTGATGTCTCTGAATTAAACAATTTAAGTTGTAATGTATTTTATTATTGTTACAAAATGAAAATGTTTAGTAGATGTTTCTATATAATAATATATACCATATAGATTTTTTAAAGTATAAGTCATTTTATATCGCATATAAGATTCGCACAGCTAAAATATTTTTCAATATTTTTAACTACAGAAAGATGACTTGTTAGCATCATAAACGTATACGAGCAGTCTGCGAGTGCGTAGGCTAATGCTTACTTTGCATTAAACGACTGTTAAAATAATTATTTAATTCAGTATAAAATCTTATAAAATATCTGAAATTAAAACTAACGAATCACTTATGTTAGTATTCTTTAATAATAATTATACGTACTGTTTTTACGATGGTATATACCAGGTTGCACTAAAGTTGCCAAGGAGCATACATTGTCTTCTACCTCTGTCTTTGATCCAGGACTGGTGCAGAGGTATGACGAATGCTTTTTATCTCTGTTCATATCTACAAAATAATAAAAAGTGATTAGTGATGTGGGTTTCTATAACTGAAATAATTTAAATAAAATCCACCATCCACCAACCACCACCACCAACCATCTTTTCGGATTTTTTCGGGGACTTCTTTTGGTTTAATTGCCCGACTGACCGTGAGACTAAGTCTCTTTCCATTGACCATGATTGTTGTTTCGACACGACGGAAATCGAAAAAAATCAAAAATCCAAGTTTTTTTTGAATATCAAATATTCACGTGACTGTAAGAAAATTTTATGTGACAGAGTTTATTTCTAGTTTTGTAGTTCTAAAGATTATCTTCTATATGTAAAAATAAATTTTAATAAAAAAAAATTTTAATCTGACAAAGATAAAATCACGATGTCGGAAACTATACTTGAAATGTCCATAAATCAGCTGATAATAACAAAGCCTTCAAAAAGACCTTTCTACTGTCAATCTAGTACGCACTGTAGTATAAAATAATGACTGCACAGCTTATCAGATAACATTGATTTGATTCTTACCTTGAAATAATATTTACGACCCTTCATTCAAATACCCGAATTTCTCTAAATTGGTGTAGCGGAATAAAAAGTAACTTATGCATGTGTTATTTCAAACTCCTAATCTATCTCTGTGCCAAATTTTATCCTGATCCATTCAGCCGTTCTGGGCGTGGCAGAGTAACAAACAAACATCCATCTACCCATCCATCCATCCTCACAAATTTTCATATTTATAATATTAGTAGGAAGTATGTGGATTTATTTAAATGATATTATTGTTATATTATAAATACTAATATATCTGTTTAATCAAAATTACCTGAATATTTGATATTTTAAATAAAAGTATCTTTTCAGATTCTTTCGCGGATTTATTTTGATTTTTGATTCCCGACATATTGAAAACTTTGCAACAATCATGGTCACGGGAGAAACTAAAGGCTTAGACGTCTCAAAGGTCATTATATACTGGCTAGTTAATAAGTTTTTGTTATATAATGATTATCGTCCCATGGTCCACAATTTCGACCACTGGCTCTTTAATATGTTAATAAAAAATAAATTACGTAGCCTTACCTTTTTAGTCCAAGGAAATCGTTGCAAAAATCATTTGATCGTCGAATGCTTCATATATAAAAGCAATGTTACATCCATTCTTGTTCACTCAATCTTAATATTACTAAATACTATTATGTGGCGATATATTTAAAGCAATTATTCTGCAAATAATAGATAAGATAACTCATATGTCGTAACATCGTAAACAGATATTTTTAAGTCAGATATGTTGGTTACGGTAATAATTATAGTTTTACAACTATTACAATTTAGCCTCCATAGTAATGCATTATGCGGTAAATAACGGGTTCGATTCAAATTGGTATATATGTTGCAGGGAAATTGTAAGATCCGTTAAATTAAAATTTCGATATAAAGCTACAATTCGATATTCGAATTCGATATCGAATTCGATACAAAGTACTACAACCCGTGTTAAGATTTTCATATGTATAAAATCTAAGTGGATTATTTTTTAAATTTGATAAAATATAAGTAGACTATTTTTTTAAATTTGATAAGGTTATTTATTTGTAGTTTTTAATTTTCGATAAGCTGGCAGATCCGAATTAAGCCTTCTCGTTAGGTATTTTTTTTGAGTACCTTCTTTTTAAATAAAACTATGTTTCCGGATTATTTCGCGGATTTATTTAGATTTTTAGTTCCCGACGTTTAGAATGTTTTACAGCAATTATGTTAACGGGAGAGACTAAGGTTTTAGATGTCTCAAAGGCACTATATACTTGTTACAAACAGTATCTACCAACAATTTTACAAAATGATTTCAAAAATTAAAAAAAAAAGAATTTTTCAAATCATTTTTATTTAAAATTTCAAATATTTGCGTAAATTTAAAAAAGTATTATGAGTACCTCCTTTTTAAAGTACATAAGTCAGAGACATATTTTGACTTTGACTTCATTAAAAGAAACCATAATATTTGAATTAAAATTCATGAGGTGGTCTCCTCTAGACCAAGGGAACGTTTTAATTATAAGTTGTTGTATGCTATCTCAAAAGAAAGTTTTCTTAATTTTTTCTTATTAAAACTATTCTATACATATTACAACCAGTATCAAAACATCATAATTAAATTAAGCACTGTCACATAATAGTTGAATACAATAACTAATTATTTTCGCATTTTTTTTTATATAATTTGTTTAGATTTTGTCCCAAATGTCATACAAAATAAAAAAATATATATATTATATCGAATATCATTGAATAGATAGTCTGACATTTGTACTTTGGTTTATTTCAACTCAATAGTGTCTCAAATTTGTACTTTTTTTGTTTTATTGTTTGTGTTCAGAAATGTGAAAAGTTAAAAAATAGTCAATTCGTTGAGATTGTTATTCTAGACATAGAGAATAGACGTCCCGAAATTGACCACTATCTAGAAAGAGAGAAAGCGAACGTGCGGCATGTACCTGTCTATTATTCCAATTTGAGTATATAAATGAAATGTAAAAAATTCAAATATTATTTAAATTATAATATAACTGCGTCTCACCCTCGCTCCGCTCAGGTTCGTCCCTAGTTTTAACGTTTTGTATAGATTTCTCAGAGATGAGATACTTTCCCGCGCTAAAAAGTATCCTAAATGTTGTCCCGGATAACCAGCCATCATCATACAAAATTTCATCAAAATCTTCAGTGTTTTTCTCGTGATGTGTTCCCAAACAGACAGACAAGTAGACAAAAAATATTTTAACTATAGATTCGGCCTCTGTATCGATAACAATGACTATTTCAATAAGATTTTCAAAAAAAATGTTTAATATACATATTCGAATCAGTGAGAATTTTATTATTTGTATAGATAATAAAATGTGATATGGTTATAAATATATATCTTCATTAATTATATTTCAATCAATAACCACAAGAAGAAGGCCGCACATTCGTTTTATCTCTATAGCTTTGCCGCCATTTTAAGCTGACGGCTGGCAAAGAAGCACTCAGTCCACCTCTATGTCTATGCTCTAGACTAATGTTTAAAATATATATGTAAATATGTATGTACATAATGTTTAACTCTATTGGAAAAACGAAATTTTATATTCTGATTAACTATGACCTTTAAGCGAGTTAATTTAATTTGACATAGAGTTGGGAAGATATGATCATTGATCATTGACTTAAAAAAGGATAATATATTTCAAATACTTTCAACATGAAGTTAGAACAGCAACTCGCTAATTTGCTAAAATATAATTTCTAAATTTCTAAATATACAATAAAATCTTAAAGAAACTGTCAAGACGAGATTTAGATAAAATAATCCGGTAGCGGAGAATGACATCGTGCCACATTAAAACTCGTTTTCATTGTAAATGACCGGCTTTTTTAACTTACAATATTAATACGTAAATGTAAATCTTTTTAACGCTAAACTTTAGAAAAGTTCGTTCAATATCGAATACATAATATGTCGTATGAGATCTTTTTTAATGTATATTTCATTATAATACGATGAATAGATACTCATTGTTTTAGTTTTTGTAGGTATTTCAAGTTTAGATTTTTTTTATATTTTAGAGAAGAATTACGTCTATCCATTTTTAATTTGGTTTAGTTAGCATTTATACTTTTCAATAACACAATTTTCATGTAATACTTTTTTACAATAAAGAACATTACAAATATACTTAATTATATATACAAAACAAATGTACACTTAACTATATTAAATTATTTCTACTTATATTCGTGTAACTATTCAACTTCGATTCTTTTCCAGTATACGGCAAATAAACTAGTTTTCTTCTATCCTCACATTGTTGTTACATAGAGAACTCATCGATAAAAAAGTACTAGATACACAATTACATGCGAAAGTTCTCTTAAAACTGTCACCAATTGTGTTTAGGTAATTATTCTAGTTGAAATAAATAAACAACAATGTAAATTGAACCTTAAATGCAATGCTTGAAGTTGTTTTCATAAAAAAAGCGCGCTCAAATTTTTAAATGAGCGCTCATTCGGTGAGGTCATTTTTTTGTCGCTGATTGTGTATCTAGTACTTTTTTGATCGATGAGAGAACTTGAAATTCTCGAAAAAGCATTACATTTGAAATTAAAGGAGTCTAGTGTAATGGAAACAAGTGTTTAGTGATAACGTTTTATGACAATGTTGGTAGATTCGCGTAATGAGCCAGCGGAATGTTTACTCGGTTTTTTACATTATATTGTAAGAGTATTAAACATAATACAAAATAACATCGACACTAAAATATAAATAGGGAAATAAGTTTATATATTACAATATTGCTTGTATATATATATACATAATATGTATATTGTATAATATACTGTTATGGTAGTCTATACTAATATTATAAAGAGGTAAAGTTTGTGAGTTTGTGATGTTGTAGGGGGTAATCTCTGGATATACTGAACCGATTTAGATCAAATTTGGTAAGAAGTTAGTTTAAGACCCTCCTCATTAAAAACCCCCTGTATTTGGAAATTGCAGATAGATAACGTATTTTAACTTTATTTATAGGTATGGATTATAGTGTAGAATTACTTGTGGTACAATGAGGCATGCGACTGAATATACTGCCGACTAGGATGAGGAATTCTGACAGCGGATGTATGTTTATATGTCCTATTTTGCTTAGAAATAATAGCTATAAAGTGTCAAGTGTAAAACGTAATCTATACATATAATAAAATTGTAACTAAGCCGAATCTGTACATTAAATATGTTTTGGAAAATCTTATTGAAATAAACATTATTATCGAGACAGAGGCCGAATCTATAGTTTTTAGAATTTTTGTCTGTCTGTCTGCTTGTTATCGCATCACAGAAAAACCGCTGGAGGGATTTTGATGAAATTTCGTATAGTTATAGCTGGTTATCCGGGTCAACATATAGGATATTTTTTACTGCGGGAAAATGTCTCATTTCTGAGAAAAATACAAAAACTGTAATGTAAGAGTATTCTAATATGTAAAACCTAAGAATTTAGTTTTTGGTCGTCTGAACGCGGGCGGATCCGCGGGCAATGCTAGTAAGATGATATTGAATATAATCATTGATTTAGCATTCAAAATATTAGGTTGAAAATTATTACAAGTGAAAGCAATTTCAAATCAATTCTTTTA